TTGACATGGGTGAAGAGCATCCCAAGCCCGCACCAACTCACTCGCTTTTTACTTCAGGTCTACCAGCTGTTGTCGGCGACGAATTGGTCATCAACGTCTGGGATGGAAGCTTTGAGGATGCAGGTCTGCTACGCTTCCTCGACTGTGCGGTTCAATCGTTGTCTTCTTCATCTTTCACCTCACTGCTCTCACTTGACGTTAGACTCATGGCCCAGCGGCGAGAGCGACGTCTTCCTGATTTTCACGTTCGGCGGAACCGACTATCTCACGTCCACCATCGATGACGACAACAGTCAGTCTCAGTGTTTGCACATCCCTGTCAATTTCCTGCTGTCGCTTTTAATTGCCCCCGAGGCACCCAACAGTGTTGTGTGTCACGCCCGGGCCTCGCTCATCTGGCTCGTTAGCTCCCAACTTCAAGGGCGAGGAAATTAAAATTCCAGGCGTCAGCCGAACGGTACGGTCCCGGCTTTGCATTGCTCATTGAAAATTTCGCGCGTCCGCCAACCATTCGCAACGAGGGAGATGCACAAGATTCAGGTCGACTTCTTTCTTGCGTTACATCTTTAGGCCTCAATTTCTGTGCAAGCTGCTGACGATGAGGGTGGTTTGAAGTGGTGGGACTTTGATTCGGTATGACCCGGCATTTCCACTCCTGCTTGAAGTCTAGCGATGCCAGTCTGTCCAATACCTGCTCATCCCGTCTTTGTGCGTTTCATGTTTAGTTGGGCTCGCTTACCATGTCCAACATTCACAAGAATGGTGAAGTTCGGACCTTGAGTTTTTCCCGAGGCCACATTCTCGTCACATTGACCTATACTCCTTGTGCGTTGATGTCTGGTGATATCGGCTGGTTTTGATGCGGGCTGTAAACACCACAAAATCTGTGGCCCGCGGTCCCTCATGGCGGACTTTTTTTTTTCGTGGTGGCATCTCAGACGACAACTGCTACGCGAATTCGGACTCGTGTGGAAGCAACACGGCATGCACATTCACGGGTCACGATGCCTACGTTTGTAACTGCAAGAGCGGCTATTACGACGTTCATTCGGGAACAAGGGGAAGCTATTCTTGCTCTGCTTGGTCCTCATGCTCAAGCTCTCAGTACCAAACTTCAAGCCCAAGCGCCGTCGTTGACAGAGGCTGCAGCAGTTGCTCAGTCCTCACTTGCAGCAATGGGGCCTATCGTACAGGGTGTGGCTATGGGTCATCAGGGACTTGTAGAACCTGCGATTCGTGCAGCGCGGGCCAAGAGCGCACCGGCTGCGGTGACTTGAGTCCTGGTACTTGTTCGGTACGTGAGCGCGTGCGCGTGCGTGGTCACGAATGCGAAACTTTGCACCTGATTTTTTTCCTTAACAAAGATGGCAAGGTCTCATTGGTGCTTTTGCTCGCTATTACGTCTATTTCCCCTCTACTGGGCCTATCAAAAGGCTTGTTCAGCTGGCAAGTACAACACAGATGGTAGTGGTGCTTGCACGAGTTGCCGAACGTCGTGCGCTTCGAACGCGTATCTGACTTCGAGCTGCAGTAAAACAGCAGATGCAGCGTGCGCCCTCTGCCCAGCCGGATCGCGTTGCAACGGCGTCGAGGCGGTCGAATGCGGAAGCAATGCTTATTATTCCAGCTCTGGCAGCACAGACTGCACCCGTGTGTCTTCGGGCTACTATAGCATAGGTGGCACCGAGACGACGCGAACAGGCCAGGCTCAATGTCCTCCAGGTTCTGCTTGCTTGGATGGCGTTAAGACTTCATGCGGTGCAGAATTTTTTCAACCTGAGGCTGCACAGGCAGTCTGTTTGGCGTGTGCGCGGTGCAAAGCCGGTTACTCTGTCAATGCAGATTGCACGGCAACATCCAACCGCATCTGCCACGATATCACGCCACCCACACTTGCTTTTGCAGGCAATCCGCGTACAACCTTTGAACTCGGAGAGACAATTTCTTTGCCAGCCGTGACGGCACTGGACAGTGCTGACGGCACGCTGACAAACAGCGTCTCCCACACCCCCCCGGGGCAGCCAGCAAATACTGTGGGGCAACACACCATTCAGTTCGCTGTCGAGGATGCAGCACAAAACCCTGCCACGTTGAAGTGGGTCTACACGGTCTCTGATCAGACTCCTCCAGAGTTTATCTTGGTTGGCAGCAATCCTCTGCAGTGGAATATCGACGAAACTTTCAAGGACCCAGGTTACAGCGTACACGACCTGAGCCCTGTGACTGTTCACGTGGTTGGCTTGGATTTGTTGAATGCAACGATTGCGAATGCCATCTTGGACAACGTAACGCTGGAGTACGATGCTTGCGACTCGTACAACAACTGCGTATCTGCAAAGCGCTTCGTCGAGCTGGTTGACTACAGCGTGCCGGTGATTACGCTGCTTGGACCAAATCCCTTGTTCATTGAGGTTGGGACGTTGCCAAGCTTTGTCGATGCATATGGTGCTGAAGCTGAAGACAACGTAGCTGGTAATGTCACAGGCCTAGTGGTTTCGCGCAACAATGTGGACATTGATGTGCTTGGGCAATATGAAGTCGAGTACAGTCTCAAGCTTGGCAGTGAAACAGCGCAAGCTGTGTCCCGTACAGTGATTGTGAGGGACACAACTCCTCCGCAGCTGAATTTGAATGGCTCATCGTTGGTGGTACTTGAAGCTGGAAGCAAGTATGCTGAGCCTGGGTACACAGTTGAGGATAATTACACCCCTGCTTTAGCTCTGTTACAGACGATGAGCATCACACCCGCGCTTGAGAACATCAGCACCATCGCCCCAAATGGCACCATGATTGTGGTACGTGAGTTGAGTGGTTAATGGCATGCGATGAAGTTGGGACTTGCTCAACCCGAACACTTGGGTGCGCTAGGTGGAGTATCGTGTTGAAGACACATCAGGCAACGTCGGGCAAGCACAGCGAGATCTTCTCATTGTGGACACGCAACCGCCTGTTCTGACCGTCAATCCCGACGAGGCACAGGTGTGGCATCGCCTCTGGGTCCCGTTGGCGAGTAGGCGAGGGCCTCTCAATTGTGTTGATGGTGGCCATGGATAGTCTTGGTTTTGTGAGTGTGGCTGCGCACGAGCGTGTTGTGGTTGCAAACTGACGTGGATTGTTTGCGCGTGGCGTGATGCTAGTATGAGCGCGAGGCCGGATCGGAGGCGGGATATCCGGTTGTGCAGGCGTGGGATATTGTGGACGGGGCGTGCGTGGACGAGAGATCAGCGTGCACGCTGGTGCGGGAGGGGAGCGTGACGATGAGCTCTGTCTCGAGTCCGAGCATGCAGAGCGTGACGTATCGTGCGACGGATGCGGCGGGTCATTCGGTAAGTGATGGAGATGGTTGTTGTTGTTGTTATTGTTGTTTTTGCTGTTGTTTTTGTTGTTTTCGTTGTTGTTGTTGCGGTGCTTGTTGAGGGTTGGGAATGATGAGGAGAGGCAGACTGCTGGTTTTGGATTGGGCAGATGGTTGTGGATGTGCCTCGTCTCTGCTTCTTACGGACGTATGTATGTACGTGTGTGTGTGTGTGTGTATGTGGTTGATGGGGGGGATAGGTGACACGGACGCTGGAGTTTGTTGTACGCGACACGCGGGCGCCGGTGGTGTCAGTGAGTCGAGATGTTGTGTTTGTGGAGGCGGGAGGCGCGGGCGTGGACTTTAACGGGACGGAGAGCGTCGGGAGCGCGGTGGACGCGAATGACGGTGCTGTTGTGGCGTATGCCAATGAGAGCATTGAGATGTACCCTTTGGAAGTGCCGATGGAGTACGGAGTGTGGTACTGGGCACGTGACGGAGCGGGGAATGTTGGATGGAGCTCGAGGGTGCGCGTGGTTGTGAATGACACGACGGGGCCGGTGCTGCGACGTGTGGTGGGTTCGAATGAGGAACCTGTTGTGGTGGAGGCTGGCAGTGACGTGTTTGATGCGTCGGGGCTGGTGTCGTGCCATGATGGGTATGAGGGGCCGTGTGAGTGCACGATTGGCATTGAGCGGCGGCTTGCGAATGAGAGCGCGTATTCGCGTGTGAGCGGCGTGGACACGTTTGGAGAGAACGGGACGTGGTACCGATTGGGGTACGCGGCGCGTGATGGGAGCGGCAATTCTGGGAGACTGGAGGTGTACGTTGTGATTGAGGACGAGGTGGCGCCGGAGTTTCGAGTGCTGTGGGGTGGGAGTGGAGCGACGTTTGAGGGGTCTCGTACTGGGCGAGCCTTTGAGTTGGGGTCGTATGTGAGCGTGTCGGATGGAGGGTGGCGGGGCACGAGCCTGTTGGAGCGTGTCGAGATGGCAGTGATTGAGCACGCGATTGGAGGCGACGCGGATGAAAAGGCAGCGAGTACGACGACGACAGACGACACGCGACAGCGACAGCGACGACGACGACGGCCGATCGAGCACGCCGAGGCTCTGGTGGTGGTCTTGATTACCGGGCTTGGCGTGGTGTGCGGCATTTGATTGATGCGAGTGCGGCGGTAGGAACGATGTATGAGGTGCACTTGCGGGTGGCGGACGCGAGCGGCAACGTTGGGAGGACGAGTTTCAACATGACGGTTGTGGACACTGTGGCGCCTCGGCTTGAGCTGCTGTTTGGAGAGTACCGGCATGATGAGGCGAGTGGGACGACGTATGTTGTGGGGGGAGCGGAGTATGTTGAGCCCGGATGGGAGGCGTACGACGACTATGCCGGGGACGTGAGCGGTCGTGTGAAACAGGCGGTTGTATTGCGATCATCGGACACTGCTACGGCTACGGCTAAGGACACAGCCACGAAGACGGACATGGACATGGATGCGGGCGGTGATGCAGGCTCTGGTGCGGGGACACGGTGGATGATTGTGGCGTACAGCGTGCAGGACGACCACCAGAATGTGATGAGGGTGAATCGTACAGTTGTGTTTGAGGCGGAGCCATCGGGGCCACCGTCGTCATCATCGTCGTCGACGTCATCTGGCGGAGGGCTTTCGGGTGCGACGCTGGGGGCGAGCGTGGGAGGCATTCTTATTGTGGTGGTGGTGTTTATTTTGTTTGTGGTGTGGCGTCGTCGTCGCGGCGGGGGCGGTGGGCGAGCGGAACTTGGGCTCAAGACGGCGCGGATGGTGCATGAGCTGGACGACGGGACGATGGCGGGAGCTGTGAACCCGATGTATGATGAGGATGTTGGGTTGTGGCAGCTTGGGGTGGTGCCGAGCGGAGTGACTGAGCAGGAGCTGTATGGTGATGTGGAAGCGTTTGACGAACCGGATGTTCAGACCGCATCTTGCAATCATGGCAATGTCGCGGCTGATCATGTTTATGGTGATCTAGGTCTGTGTGACCTTCCTGACTTATCCTCTCTCAAGGGTGACGCCTCTTCGACCGCTTTACCACCCTTTGGCGATTCTCGGTCATCCGTCATTCACCATTCAAGCTACCGTGGTCAAGACCTTTATCACCACTTGGATCCTGCAGCTGACGGCCGACGTTGCAGTGTGTCTGAGTCTACCTATGCGTCTCTGCATCGCCCGCCGGGTGCTTCCGCTTCGAGCCCCCTTCCCAAGCATGTTTACGACAGCCTGTTGATGACTGCTGCTCCACATGCCGATTCCTCGCGTGTGTAGGACCATGCTGTCTGCTGCTCTATTTATTCTTAGTTTGTTGTACTGATAGTCTAGTTGCCTTTCTGTCACCCCATAGCTTAGGCTTTGAGGCTCTGTGTTGCCTTTGATTTGTGGCATCGGTGTCCACACGGTCGCCCCAGCCGTTGCTTTGAGCCCGTGCGTATTTGTGCTCAGTGTGTGACCCTTTTATTGATCCGTCTGATGGATGGTAGTTGACCTTTTAAACTGATTCTTTCATAAGCTTCTGATGGTTTGGCGACAGTCGATTGCTCGATCAAGTGGCGTACCTCCCATCAGACAGGCGCACCTCCCATCAGTGGTGTTCGCTCTCACAGCCAAAGACTGGTGATGGTCAAAAGAACAAAATTTTTGTCATCTTTTCGCCATTCTTGCACATTTGGATGCAACAAAGGGCGACATGAGAGAATGAGTGGGAGAGTGAGAGAGAGAGAGAGAGGTTCAGAGAGATTCAGAGAGAGAGAGATTCAGAGAGAGAGAGATTCAGAGAGAGAGAGATTCAGAGAGATATTTAGAGAGAGATTCAGAGAGAGATTCAGAGAGAGATTTAGAGAGAGATTCAGAGAGAGATTCAGAGAGAGATTCAGAGAGAGATTCAGAGAGAGATTCAGAGAGAGATTCAGAGAGAGAGAGAGATAGATTCAGAGAGAGATTCAGAGAGAGAGAGAGAGAGAAAGAAAGAGAGAGAGAGAGAGAGAGAGAGAGAGAAGGAAAGAGCAAAGACACAAAGGAAAAGTACAACCACCACATGAAAGAGAGAGAGAGAGAGAGAGAGAGAGAGAATATGGCGATGTCGTCAAAGGAGGAGGAGGAGTCTTTTGGAGGGAATCTCAAAGAGTTGTTGTGAGCGAAATGGCAGCCGGATCGGGTGCCTACTCAAGTAACAGATAGGGGTTCAACAGTGGGCAGAAAATGGGGTTAAAAGGCCAAACGGACATGGTTGTAAGCCCGCATGGTCGAGCTTGAACACCAGGCTGGTCCAAACAAGGGGTGACCATCACCCACCCCACCCTTTGCAGTTTGCTCGCCATTTTTTTTTTTTTTTTTGTGTGTGAGAGAGAATTTTTTTTTAATTCACACGCACTCTCTGTGGCGGCGAGCTGCGGCACGAAAACGGCAGCCAGTGTACCCAAGGGGTATTTTGAAGAGGGATTGCATTTGGAGCGAGTGCGGGCGTGATCTGCATTTGTTCGTGGTCTGCATTTGGTCCCGGTGCTGTTGCTGTTGCGCGTCAGCTCTCTCTTTTTTTTTTTTTTTTTTTTTGAAATCAGGGAGTTTCAGGACCCCTTTTGGTGTATTTGGCTCCGGAGGGCGAGAGCAGAAGAGCCCTCGGCAAGAGAGGGCGCCCACCTCAGGACCATGAGTGCGTGTCGGGCCCAGGGCCTAGCTTGGCTTGGCCTCTTGATCGGACTCTTATGCGTTGGTAAGCGCCACAATACCCTACCTCGCCGCCTTGACATGGGTGAAGAGCATCCCAAGCCCGCACCAACTCACTCGCTTTTTACTTCAGGTCTACCAGCTGTTGTCGGCGACGAATTGGTCATCAACGTCTGGGATGGAAGCTTTGAGGATGCAGGTCTGCTACGCTTCCTCGACTGTGCGGTTCAATCGTTGTCTTCTTCATCTTTCACCTCACTGCTCTCACTTGACGTTAGACTCATGGCCCAGCGGCGAGAGCGACGTCTTCCT